GATATGAGATGTCCTTCCAAAGTGGAGAGCTAAAGTTCGGCGGTCTAGTATCAGCATCCATCCAATCATAGCCCGGTTCCTCGACTTAGAGGCGGACCCGGGCCGGCTATCCTTCTGTGCTAAGCATATCTCTCCTTTTTCACATCCATTTATCGTAACACCCTCCTTCAATTCAACAGCTTCTATCGAATAACTGCGTAAGGCAAAGAAGAACTCAAAATAAGCTATGATTCTAAAGGAACTCGACCTGTTAATAAAACAAAATCCATCAACTGCAAGCGCTCTACTATTTATATTTTTACATTTATCGACGCATTCTTCAATAGGGTAACATCACTAAATACGCCTCTGTCGCGTATACGTGAGGGACAACTTTTTGCTTTCCTTATGGGGTAAATGTGAGCGACTTAATAGGAAGGAAAAGGCATGAAAATGTTAGCACAGTTGGCTAGTTCGTCCTTGTTATTCTTTTAGAAATTGAGGTCACCTACCTTAACACAGCCTGGATAATCAATTGATGGTAGCCCATAGATTTCAAACTGCTTGCTGTTGTCACCGGATGAGATGAAGACCGGAAATTTCTCACACTCCAGCATGGCTGAATCTTCGCCGAGGGTTGCGCTCCAGTAACAGACAGCAATCGATTCGGGCTAAATTTATTTTGGGTGAGTTGTGTTTAGGTTAGCTCGCAGTCAAAGCTACTGCATGTCACCAAAGCCCCTCCTACAATTCATTTGCTCTCTGAGAAATGGTATGATATTACGCTAAATATATGGTAACGGTTAGGTTTCATAGCACGGAGAAGATCACACTGAAAGTTTTTGTCTATTAATGTTTCTTTTGGGTTGAAGGTCTGCCAAAGAGGTGATAGCAGCAAGAATGACGGAAATCTTCAGCGAGTGAGAAAGGCCAGTAACTGTAAGCAGACAAGTAATCAAAGTAATCGTTCACGGATACAGCACTATTCTATGCCACCCATTTGCAATCAGCTTGAGAGCCATACTCCACGATAAGAACAAGTAAAATAAAAAAATGGGCTCGGTTGTTTTAATTCCAAAAATCTACATTTTGTGTGAACGCGTTCATGTTTCTTAGAGTGCCGTGACTAACAAGGGAGGTCTTTCAGGGCAAGCCGCGCTTTTTGGAAACGGTTTCTGCATATTGTAGGGACGCATGTATGGACCACAAAACCATGTTTCGTTTTCGCTGAACGGTTTTAGTAGTACCAAAAAAGTGGTGAATATACCCTTGATGGTTCCCCCGCGGCGACTAAATTTTGCAATCAAGGTTGGCGGCCACTTGTTGGCTTCAAAATGGTCCTGACGATGAATTTGACATCTGATTTTGATATTTAGCGCGATTTGGCACCAAACCGTAGGCGCCAACCCAAATGCAAAATTTAGTCGCCACGGGGGATCGAACCATTAACAGTACCTTATGCTTCTTTTTTGGTACTGCTAAAACCGTTCAGCGAAAATGAAACATGGTTTTGTGTTCCCTACATGCGTCCCTACAATATGCACAAACCGTTTTGAAAAAGCGCACTTGCCCTGAAAGACCTCCCTTGTAGAACTCTCAGCCTTTTCATCCTTGGCAGAACATTTTACTCTTCTTTTGCATACCATGAGTGATGCAAAGTAGTATGTATAGTATGCAAAAAAAGAGTAAAATGTTCTGCCGAAGGATGAAAAGGCAAAGAGAGTTCTTAGTCACGGCACTCTAAGAAACGAGTGAAAGCGTTCACAAAAATGTAGATTTTCGGAATTAAAACAACCGAGCCCATTTTTTAATTTTACTTGTTCTTATCGTGGAGTATGGCTCTCAAGCTGATTGCAAATGGGTGGCATAGAATAGTGCTGTATCCGTGAACGATTACTTTGATTACTTGTCTGCTTACAGTTACTGGCCTTTCTCACTCGCTGAAGATTTTCGTCATTCTTGCTGCTCTCACCTCTTTGGCAGACCTTCAACCCAAGAGAAACAATGATGAGGGGTGAAGATGATGATGATGGGTGAAGAAGATTTCAATGTAAAGCACAGCTGAGAGCAAATACCTGCACATGCAAAGGCAAGTTTGGAAATAGCTGCTTGATCCAAGGTCCAACAGTGAAAATCACTTTTTTAGTGTGGAAAGCCGTTTTTGAGGACTTAACGACAGTCAGATTATCGGGTCTTTCATGATACTCCAGAACCTCTTCATGTTCTCTAGTTTCTCCACCAAGGTTCGCAAATTCTCTCTGAAAAATATAGTTGATTTCAATGTGGAATTACGCCTCCAACAACCAATAATGTCAGTTTCACGTAACGTACAACGTGCGCCACCATGTGGCGCACATCAAACCAGGCCTGATTGTAACATGGTGGCGCACAATTTTTGAGACATTGGAACATATTTTTTTCGCACTTCGTAGTGTAAGGTCTTGGGTTGGGTGAGGAACAGGGACAAATCGAGATAGTTGCAAGCCGAGTCATCAAGTTGAAGCAGGCTGGAACTGAGATGAATTCTACTGATTACAGCGCGACGACGACAGAGGCGGCGCGGAGTGGGGAGCCGAAGCGCACGGTACTGGAGAGGATCGACGACCCTGTGGACGGCCTCATCTTCAAGCAAAAGTTTTGGCTCGAAGAACATCCGCTCAGTGCGCCTAAGATTTCGCAATATGCGTACTGAATCGCTCTTTCGAATGAATGGTCTCCCATCCTAAGAGATTGTGTTTAAGCTGAGAAACAAAGGCACAAACGGAAGCGACATTTCAATCGTTCCAACCTAATACATAAGGTCAAGGGGGTGGAGGTGGTGATGTTCACTTGAAAAATATGTATAGTCTTTCGGGGCTATCACCTCCAATAACTGTAGCAGGTGGCACTCTATCACAACGTGGAGACCAAGTGACATGTACAAGGGGGGGGGGCAGGAAAAAAAGACATTTTGCCCAGGTCGCACTTCGGCCTTTTTTCTTCGCAGAGATTGCCGTCGTTGACGGAATTTCCTCAGCAAAATATTCCCTAAATGTCCCTCTATAAGTACACGCAGGCCCTCCTTCACTACCCTCACCGTCTTCAGAATATGACGTCATCTGTCACCGTCGTTGAGCTCATTGAGGCCTACAGTAGGTTGCTGTACAGTGCTTATCCTGAACCTCGTGGTTATTAGTAATTCTTGGATCGGTCCAACGTGGGGAATTTCCTAGGACATGCAGCTCTAACTATGCTAAGTTTTTGCTTTATGAAACGAATGGTTCTTCATTCTAAGGTTGGGCACCTTTGAGCTGAACAATTGGGATTATCCCGTTTGGTCTGGAGACAGAATGACTTTGCTTTTATTGGTCATCCCCTGTTGTTGTCGCTATGCCTGATGTATCTTTATCGATGATGTTGTATTCTCCGCGAAGGAGTTTGGATACTTTCGCTGATCCAGAGCAAGAGGCAAGCAGTTCTGAATTTTTCGCGAGCACAATGATTGCTGATAGTCGTCTTATACGTTCGTGATTGTGCCTCGGCGGGATCGATGTTGGTAACGGGTTGAGCATGGAATCGACGTTCCTAACGGGGTTGGTGACTGGGTTTAGCGACGACGAGAATGAAGACAGCTTCGGTCAGGACAGACAGTGGAACCAGAGTCAACCCTGCGTTGCGCAGTTTTCAACGGCCACGTTGCGCAGTTTCGCCCGATTAGACACGTTCTCTCGCGCGAACATTCACACTCGCATGCTCGAGCCGTCTGTGTCTCCGCCCATACAGCGTGCGTTGAGGATCTCTCAACGTGCCGTTGCGAACTGCGCAACGCAGGGTTGACTCTGGATGGTTAGACTGTTGATTAGCTTCTGGTATCTTCTATGAACGCTGGGCTGTATGCAGAATACTCGCCAATTTAGGATAGCTGCTTTAGGGTTTAGTCCGAATAACAGAACTGATAGAGTCGGGATGGAAACATGTTGCAAAACTGAAGCGCGGGTGGGGAACCAACTATCCTTTATGATGATGATCAGACCTTACACTCACCACGGGACTAGTAGGTTGTTAGACTAGCGTGCCATTCTACACTTGCAGCATTTCGACTCTCGTAGTTTGATTCTCAGTGGAGGCGTTTGAGAGAAAGTCACTTTTTTGATTTTTTTCAGGTTACTGAGCGGAGGCGAGAAGCGAAATGTTAGTAATAGTTAATTAATTTGACGGCCTATCCCAATTTCTGCTTATCAGGATTATGATGGCGGTGCCGGATGCAAGGTGAATCAGAAAGATTGATGATGTTACAATGCGGTAGCATACAGCGGCAGTAACGTCCTGGTATGTTTGAACACTTGTCGGCATTTTAAAGTACCCACCATCGGGTCGATAAGTCTGCCATCGTTATCGAACGAAAATTGAGGATACCGTTGAGCAATCTCGAAATGAATTTAGTGAAGTGTCTGCGAGATATCGACTGAGAATGGGTGAATGTCCCCGGTTCTAGTTTATACCACATCGACATTTTCAGCCTTCGACTATCAGTTACAAAGAGAATAACAAACGAGCAAGGGCTTATCTCCAATTTCTAAAAGGCGAAAATCAAAAAAGGGAGCTATCTGGTACCAAAGTTAGGGTTCTGCCGTGGACGATGAGTTCATTGACTTTATAGAGGTTCTCAACAAGCACATACTATCAACACTGGTATATTAAAGGCATACTTTTGTGGCGCCAGTATTGACGTAGTACTGTATGCCAGTGATCTTATAAGCATATCTCGAGCGTTATTTTGAAGTAGGTCACATTTCCCCACTACAACATAATTTAAATTACCTGGGTTCCGTTGATCACCTCATGATCTATGCTGTGGCTGTGTAGCACTTCCGATATTGCTGCTATAGAAGATTCTGAATAGTTCACAGAAGGTCGTTTCCTACAATTGCCGGAAGCACTTTTTCACAAAAGGTGGAATCACTACGGTATGTTTCGTGCGCATTTTGTTCATTGCCACTTCCATGCACAGTAAAGTATATTGTATTTTTCTCCTTCTTGTGCTCTGTTACCTATGTCTTAGAGCTTCACTGAGAGCAGAGGAGTAAGATGTACAGTGCGGACAAGTACAATGCGCTATTATAGACTACAATTCCCAAAACTTTGTCTGGGATGTTTTGGAAGTATACAGTATTGTGACACATATAAACGCGAATCTTGAATATTTAACGGAAATCCAGTTTGGAAGCAACAATTTTTATCCTTATTTTTTCGAAAATATCCGCTTTAGCTTCTCCGCTGCATTTTGCTTTTACCCAATCAAAATTTGGAATTATTATCCATTCAAGTTCCTTAGCTTATAGCAAAGGCAAAACCGCTGTCACACTTCCGTAAAAGGGAAATCTTTAGCAAAAGAGACGCAGGAATTGTCTAAGTGTAGCTCGCTGGATTTTTCGGGTGACTTTCATAAGAAAATTTCTTAGGTGCCACAGGATTGACTGGGGGACATGTTACTATCTGACTGTAATTGTTTACGTGGAAATGATATCCAGCTGGGTACTGAATTGTGGGTGAATTAGTATTATTAGGTTGTATAATAGTTGTCCTTTTTTTCTAACCAAAAGTGTTCGTCTAGCTCCCCCAGCCTTTACCCACGTCTGTACCAGCGGACGTAGATCGTTTGCCTTACAGATGTATGTTCGTCTTCCCTCTTCCCGGGGTTTTCATTTTAGTGTTGCGAAATAGAGGTCCGACGACAAAAACCGACAACTATCCTTACTTTTTTTTCTGCGGAGACCCAATCAAGGATGTACTTGCGTGTCATGACCTCTGCTGAACATTCCACCCTTAGATTGCCGAGAAAAGGTTTGCCCTGTTTCTTTTCGAATTGGCCGACCCATAAGCTATGACAATTTTAAATTGAAATTCTTCCTCTGAAACGCTATTGTCTTATATCAACTGGTGTATCTTTTGTGAGCACTTCTTCTGCTCTATTCGCTCAATTGTTTTGTTTTAATGTTTGTTCGGAATTTAGCTGGAGTCTCGTAGGGTGGTGGTTCTAGCGCGTTAAGGTGGCTTTATCACGAAAGTGACCGCATTTCTTTGAAAAAAATTATTCCTGAGAAGATGAGAAAATCAACCAGGCGTACATTCCTAACATTTGTCATGACTTGTTCTTTAAATTCTACTAGTTTTTCAATGTCTCGGCCATAAAAAAATTTCGACCTAATCTCAGGTAATGGTGCTCGACCGTCGAGTTCTGGTTGAAAAACCAGGTCTGGAAATGGAACGACGCGACTTGTTGGGAAACCTAGTAGTGTAATGTCTAGAAGAGGTCATGAGTAAGTAGAGGGTACATCATTGATTGATTTCTCCGCAGGAAAAATAAAGTTAGAGCTAGTTGTCGGTTTGGTCAATTTTTGTCGGCGGGACCTCCCATTTCGCAGGCCTAAAATTTGAAAACCCTGGAACAGTGGTGGAAGTGGAACATCTCATCTTGTAGAGCAGACGATTCTCTTTCGAATGGTGTATGACATGGTGGAAAGGCATGGGGATTTAGACGAAAATTTTTTGGTTGACAAGCCCGCACATTATGAGAAACTAAATGTTGCAGTGAGTCGCGTGTATGAGGAACCCTGATTTCTATTCTCTTTGTTTTTGTTTTTCTGATCCATGCGACCCATTATTTTTCTCGTGTGGACTTAAATCCTGTTGTCCACCGTTTATGCATTTGTTTTAAATGTGGAAACGTATGCCTGTACCCTGTATCAAAGGTATCGTGAACATTTTTTAAAAATGGAATTCTTCGATCCCCTTGAAACGGTTAGTTATTCAGGCGCCAAGTATGTTAAGAAGTTCTATTAGATGCTCTGGAACAATCGCTGTCGATACCTGTCTTGTGGATCTGTTCCCAACCGGTCAATTTTACCAACGTGTTAGGTCACTTGTGGTATTACTTTTTCCAATGATGTAGAGACTGCGAACCAGGACGCCTCTACGTTTTCGATAAGGATGAGGTCTGTGGATACGCTGCCGACCCCCAAGTCCAAAATGTCTAATGATATACATGTCGGGGATCTCCTCTCGGGGTCGCTGGAAAACAAATGTTTCGCGACGGCGACTTCTCGGAAAAGGTTGTAGCCGGGATTCAAGCACCTCATTATAATCCTAGTTGTCTACCTGACATGTTGGCAAGCCAAACTCCAATGTCCCCTCCTTTTGGAACCACCCCAGACCTTTGATGAACATCTTCCGAATTGTCTCTTCGAGCACATCTGCGGGTCCGACCAAAGTCTCTCCAAAAACCTCAAGACCCACCCGAATAGCAAAGAATAAGCTTCTTTCTGCCAGTCGAGTTGGTCTATGAGGAAATTTCCACAGAAAGTCTTTTATTCTAATCTTACCATTTCCACGAAAGCGCTGTCTGTCCGGGTTCGACGTATCATGTTGTGGTTCAGTTTTTGAGTAGGAATTCAAACCTTGCCAACTTGTGCTAGGCATCCATACAGGACGCTCCAATCATCCTGAGTTTCGAGTTCGAACGATTCAGTGTCATGTGTGGACGGCGGATCGTGAACTGAGCGTGAAATCCGAATTTTTGCATACTCATCCGGCCGTACGTTCTAGCAATCACAATCAGAGAGACCTGAGCAGTTGAGTGACCGTGCTGCTTCGTGCGATCTAGAGTTGGTACATTGTTTTCTCACCACAGAGCGAATTTATTGCACCAAACATGAAGGTTGAATGCAACGAACTCTTCTCGGATCCCAACTCGTAACTTTGCATTCTGCCAGAGTTCAGTCGAAGCTCTCCAGTGCACGTTAGTGTCCGTAACATTACTATCGTTGGGACTGACTTCTGCACTTCCATTTCTTTTCAGAAAAACTGCTAGCGTCGTAGTGAGAATGAGGTCATATTCAAGATTGGCTGAGGGTTTGATCATCTTCCCTCAATCGCTGAGCGAAGACTGCACTGAAAGCTCTGCTTTCCTGTGACGACATAGGCTCCGATTTGGCATTTTTATTTCTGCCTCTCGTATGATTCCCTTATTTGATGTCCAGGTTTAGAAGGGATCACTCGTGTTTGCTGAAGTTGCTTTCTTCTGTTCTATCTCATCTTGCAACAGTGTGAAGAGATCAGTGCAGTCAACCAGCAGGTCTGCTGTGTATGTATTGGTTGTGTTTGGACGGATGTAGAGAGATATGTCATTCTTGAAGATGAATCTTCATCGTCTGAGTTGAGAATGCTCCGCTGTATCGGTTCTGTTGACATAGGCTTAGTACACATAGTAGCTAACATGTGGTACACCTTATTGACCCCGGAGCTGCACATGTGATATGATGAACCATGTAGGGTTGTTATTGATAGGGTTATTGACCAAAAAGTAGGATGATCAAGACAGACCTGTCGAGGTTGTTCTAGCGAGGTCGATTTGCAAGATAGTTACTGATGATCGAGTGAGCTACTTCGTAATGAGCACAACTTGAACTGACTTGAAAGCTTGAGGAATATGAGGATTCAGGAATGAGCACTTCTTACTGTGGGACAAGGATTTCTGATCTCTCTGAGATGTTGCTCACATGTAACACCACTGTGAATCCACATTCGTCTTGGTTGATGGAGTCGGAGGTAACATTACCGCGTATGAGTTGAGTGTGATTTATAAGTGCTGCTTCTGAATGCTTGCGGTGCAACAGGAGAATAAAAACGACAGCTGTGGGTGTTTTTGCTGGAATCGACCCTGCTTACCCTCCCAAAAAGAGGTGCGGTGGTTAAAGCGTTCCAGGTCCGCAGACTCGTTGGACGGTGAGGGTGCAGGATGTCCCTTTTCTTCACAACTCAGCGGAGGTCCTACTTTCCTTTCCTTTTTCTTCCTTTTCCAAAAAGAATTTCGTTGCAAATGTTGAATGTCTTTTTTGTTTCAGAACGAACAGGTCACGGGAGCCTGATCCTTCGGGTTCATGAGGCTCCTGTTTCCAGATCCTGCCTTTTTAGGTTTTGCTGTATTAATCCTTGAGTTGCTTTCGAATTGAGCTATTTGAATGCCAGCTGTCTCGGCTAAGTAAAGCTGGCTGCCTATCCATATGTAAATGTATTTTCCCCCTGAATTTGCCCTTATTCTCTACGTCAGCTACCAGATCGTAGCAATAATAGAAGAACTGATCCACTTGCCTCCAAAGTTTCTGCTTCGTTTTATTCTCGAGTTCCTCGATTTGTCTATAGGTTTCGTTGACAAGTGGCACATAGTTAGAATCGACATGAGCGTAGCGAATGATTCTCGATAGACCATGGGAACTGCCGTTGCTATGACCGAGTTCGTACTGAAAATGAATCTAGTCGTTGACCAATTTCTTAGTTTTTTTTATTGTTGATTATCCAGCCCAATCAAAGAAGGCCTGATACACATTTGATTTCTAATACAATCAAGCGCATCGGTGTTGATATAAGTTCATGAATCATTGGTTACTCGGCTGAGGAGAGGAGCTTTGGTAAGGCAAATGGAGAGCCAGTGAGTTTGAAAAAACTATTAGAACAACATTAGTTTAGCCCAGCCCTCAGCGCATGCATAACACGCACAGCAAAAGTGGGACACGCCTCCCACAATGTTCATACTTCATGTATTTCGCACCAAAATTTTGGCTCCTAAGCCATGTTCCGACCAAGGTGTAGAGGGAGGATGAGGAGAAGGCAGAAAAATACAGCTTTTCTCGACGCGCAATAGCAAAATTTTACTACCTTCCCGCGTTCATACCGAAGGATAATAAGGGGGTGCTAATAATCATGTTCGCTTGACAATCGTGATGCCGACTGTGCACAAGTGCACAAGACCGCTACAAAAATATAAAATATATGTTATAAAATATTTCTAGAATTAGTTCAAAACAACTTCACCCGTAAATTAATGCTCCGCTGCCTACGTGCGAAATATTCCGATATTCCTCATGGTTCTGAACGAAATAAACTTTTCCGTTTAAAATCTCTTGAGTGGAGGCGAAAGAAATTTGATCTCCTTATGGCGTATAAAATTCTAAATGGTCTGACTAAAATGGATGCCTCTAAGTTTTTCGTGATTGTTCATTCTAATACGAGAGGTACTTCCGCAAAGATTTCAACTGCTTCAGCTCGATCCCAGGTTAGGTCACAGTTTTTCAGTAATAGAATTTGCACGCCTTTCAATACTCTTCTACGTCGCAATCTTATTCCTTCAAACTATAATGTGTTCAAAAGATCACTGGATAAGTACATCTGATCTGTCCTTGGTCTCCAGTTGTATTTTATTTTATTTTATTTTGTTCTATACGTTCGTGTTGATGTTGAATAGTTTTGTAGTGTATTGTTACTAACTTAATTGTTTCCACATGCCTACTGGCATGTCCGTTAATAAACAATAAATAAATAAAAATATTTTGAAGATGAGGAGCTCAGAGCACAGATTTTAGTTCCGAAGGCGCATGTTAACCCATTGACGACACTGAGACGCGGTTGCGCGCTTCACTTTTGTCATCCCATTTTCTAGCGCATGGCGGCTTCTTAACAAGCTGTTGTATTCTTAATTTTACAGATCACACCATAGCGAAACTGTAAGCGACATGGTACACGGTATGGTCATGTATGCTTCAGTTTAGCTAAGGTTTCTAAGCGTTGCGCAATTGGCAACTCAGTTTATTCTCCGTTTTCTTCATATTCTCATGGCATGTCATGAAAAAGAGTGGTAGAAGTAAGTACAGACCTATGCGGATAGGAAAATATATAACCACGTCAAAACTACTTTTGACATTCACTACAGCGAAAGGACCGTAATTTGCTTTTCATTACCATTACATGCCTTTCGATCGAAACGACTGGACCCCGAGTAAGTTCTATGCATTGAATATTGTTGAAATGGTTTTTAGAGCGCCGCTTTGTAAGGTTATCGTTCAAAATTTACGGATGTGAGAGGAGGCGGCCTCGCCAAAATCTCGCTTGTCCCACGCAGCCGGAGAAGCCGAGACGCACGCTGTCGTCAACGTGTTAGGTAAGCTGGAACATGGAAAGCATGATCAGAATTCGCTAACAGAACGAAATTTCGGCTGAAGCGTAAACGGTGTAACACGAGAACCGCGTCTATTATAAACCTTTTGATTCGGATTAAAAGATTCTTATGGGAACCATTGTCAATAATCGGGGCACACCCAACTGTTCATTAGAAGCGAAAACGGTCACTCATTGCTTAGAATCGTTGTAACGTGATTTCCCTTCAGGACAATACTAGGTAGCCCCACCCACTTTCTGAGAGGTTTATTCTACTCGTGACGCCCCAATGACATCACCAAACCGCTTCAACATCAACCCATTGTTTTTACTCCCTTGAACAAAGGAAAAAAGAAGACTGATCACATACTTTCTCCAATAGAAGAGTTTTCAGACCGAGTTTCTGGCAGTGGTAGGCAGTACACGAGCCGAAAATACCTGCGCCTACAACGACGACATCGAAAGTCTCACTCACATTTGCCATTTTTACCGTCCTACAATAGAAAGACATTAAATATTGATTCGCTTCATGCTCTGACACTTCTTACGGAAAGAGTAAGTGATGCAACGAATAATCGTTCACGCATCCCCTCGTTCACTGACCGACAGCAAAGTTCACATTCTGCCAAGGTGGCTTTGTTCCTGTGGCGAACGGATCACCCTCATTCCACCAATGACGTATACAACTCCCATCCACCTCTCAGCCATCGTGACGGCTACCTTATGGCGTTACGCTGTATTTAAATTAATGCATATACATCCTCCGCGATTAATCGCTGGCGTATTACCGGGATCACTGACGCACCGATCGCACCCCTCGTACCGCGCGATTGGTAAAAGTCTGACTCCTGCCTCACACCTACCTCGAAACACACATAATTTCAGTGTCCTTCTCCTCTGCGTGCTGCGTTGCTTCTCATCTGTGCAGAAAGCCCTCTGATAGTATGGCTAGCTTCTCAGAGCACACTCGGAAAACTCTCTTTCTAATAGGATCAGAAGCATCCATGTACCTTCGAAAACAAAATATCGAGTGCGGCTCCAAACCAGAATATCATCAGGAATGTGTGTGAATCTTGCCAAGCTCAAACACGCATCATTTTTGCTTGGCAAAACTTGTACTGCCATCCGCTCAAAAACTTGTTACAAAATTTTGTGATTAGGAACATCTAACAACACCTAAGCACACGGTTTACTTCGTCGCAAGTAACAATTTTTTGTCCCCCCTCCTCCTGGATGCTCATGAAGGAGCCTGGCAAACTACGCTTGTGTATTCCAATACCGTAGCTGAGTGATGAACGGGCTTGATTGCCCTACGGAGGTGTAATCTTACAATACGGTAAGAATGAACACAAACACTCAGATACCAAAATTTTACGACAGTTACGGGCAGCCTCAACAAAAATGTTGAAGCGGAGATCACAATTTCACGTTCAGGCCCCTACAGCTGTACACTTGTATCGAAAAACTGGTAAGTTATAAAATAATACATTTTAGTTTTGTCCTCACTGATGAATTAGCAGATCTGAGCAGATACTTTCATTTTTAACCCGCAAAAAATTATCCCAGATTATTGCTGGATCGTAAATTGAATGTCTTGAAGCTCTTGGACTTTCACTATTTATTGGCAAGCTTTCGGCAATAATGCCATCATCAGACCAATCTTAAAATTACAATACTTGCGACTGATCAACTGTTCTTATACAATAAACACGATACATCGACATACCAGCGATAAGGAAGTACGGAGGGGACCTATGAGGGTCGGGAACGAGTGACAAAAGAAACGTCATCCCTGAGGGAAGGAGCCACATAACTATTTCTTAATTTCTGGCTTGATACGATCTACCTCCCGCGACTCCATGATCATTCTTCCCAGCTGGCCGTACCAAGTTTCTATAGAACGCTCACATTGAAGGAGCGTTCCTCATTCTCATGCCTCCATGTATGGTGTCTGGAGAAGGTACTGTGAGAATAAGCGGCGGGATTGGTCAACGCTCTCCTATGCTCGTTCAGGCGAATCTTCAAAGTTCCCCACTTTCTACACTGAACAAGATAATAACAAAACCTAGAATTAAGCCAGAAATTAATGCAAAAGATGGGTTACGTAACCCTTTGGGTCTTCTTGCGCAATCAGGGAAGTCCTTGCCTCATGATTTATTTTTTCACTCGTTCCCGACCCTCATAGGTCCCTCCGTACTCCCTTATCGCTGGTATGTCGATGTATCGTGTTTATTGTATAAGAACAGTTGATCAGTCGCAAGTATTGTAATTTTAATTTTAAGATTGGTCTGATGATGGCATTATTGCCGAAAGCTTGCCAATAAATTGTAAAAGTCCAAGAACTTCAATCTACGATCCAGAATCAAATGGTGCTCAGGGCAGCAGCATGTTGTCATGTCAAATCATTACGTCTAACCATATTTCAGTTTTAGCATCATGCTGCGGAAGGTAGGAGGTGCGAGCTTTCACGAAATATAAGATAACAACGAAATCGAGGTCACTCAACAAAAAACACCATTCTTCATATCAACGGTCTGTTTTGGGTTACATGCACTTTATCATAAGAATTAGCTTTTCATAATTGTGTTTATGAAGAATGTTTCTCTTACATAACTACGTAGGTACCACGTAATTGGATGGTGCTGATAACATTATCGACCTGCGGCTGATGGTGAACTTGCTTCTACTATCGACGGTACAAGCGGTACTGCTGATCCCTTAGTGCTTCGAATTGAGCAATCCGAGTATGAACAACGTTGGACAACCAAGAATACTGATCATTGAAAGGAAAGGAAGTAAATAATGAAGGCATCGTTGTCATAAAATGCAAAATAGTCACGTGTTTTCAGGATAATCGTAAGAGGGCCACAGAGTAATCGAATTAATGAAAACGATGAAGCATTTCAAACATGTCCGTACTACACACGGGTGGCCACGAGATAAGGCGCGAGCGTGTTGCTGCCATAAAAATGAAGAGTCGTGTACGAAATGAGGCAAGGGGAACTCAAAGGCAGATGGAGCGATAAACTGGCCACCGAAAACGAAAAGTTCGATGTTGTGATGGGGTGGTGATGAAAAAGCGGAAGCCCAAAACGGATGAATTCTTTGGCTTTGTCCATCTCGTGCTGTTTTTCTTGAAGTTTTCAAGTTTTGGTCACATTTATCGAAAAGCCGTCAAAACGGACCCTATTCCACACCCTCTCCCCTTACAGCTTTCGCTCAAATCGTGCAAACCGCTCAAATCGCGAAATTCAATGAAACCTGCGACGGATCGCGGACTCTGACACCAACCTTAGGAAAACACAGAGTAGAACAGCATGATGGTAATGATTTCAGTTAATATAATTAGGTGGTATACGATACTACGCTACTGGTTCATGAGACAGAGACTGCAGATAGAAAGGCGTCAGAAGCATTCTGGATTTCAGCAAGAAATTCAGGAATGAACAACCGAAATGAATGTATGTAGATTACAATCGTGCCGTTCATGTAGCATTTCGAGCTGCTTCTTCAATAAACGAGCGTGCATGTCTTCAACATCATAACGGGCTGTTAAAGGCAAATTCCGGGATTTCTGGCGAAATTGGGTTTTCCCCGTCAAATATGCAGCAGTACGCAAGGGCAGACCATGTGCAGAAGTGGCGGGGCGTTTTGATAAGGTTTAGGCGCTAGGAGCCTAGGTTGGAGCATTGGCGCCGCCCCAACCCATTGAGCCCGCCCACCGTCCTACGTGATCTTCCAAACAACCACCTGGAACGCTAGATGTTAAGCCGTTGTTTGGAAAGTCGTAGGGGAATATTTAGCGGATTTCAACTGCGAAAATCAACATCAAAGCCTATGTTACGACCATTTTCGAGAACGTTGTCATCATTCTAGTGAGAAGAAAAAATTTTAAGATAGGAAGCAAACAAAAAAAGCACAGAAAATAGAAAAAATAGGGAAACTAGAAAAAATCAGTTTTCATTGCTGACTTTTTGTGGCCGTGTCGGTTGATGGCACAAAGCCAACAGTTGCTGTAGACATGTCCAAACACGTAATTTTCCCAGCCCTGGTTCGTAAGCGACTAACGAAGAGGAATTTCTAATTTTGGAGTTCTTTGGAGGTATTTCCTGCTTTTTTCATTACCTTCGATCAACTTAGCATCCAGCTCTTCACACTCGAACAGGTGAGTCCCTCGTTTTATCCCGGAGTTTGCCTTTAAAGGAGGAT